GGCACTGCCAGGGGTAACTGAGCAGCGCAGGCCGACAGAAGGATCGCTGTGGACAGGCAACAGGACGACAGGGCGCAGCAGCGCATGCATGCACCACGGGGCAGGCGCAGGCACCACTCCCAAGCCCGCCCCATCCGCCCTGCCACCCACCCTTCTTGCGCTTGCCGCTGCCGGCCTGCAGCACGTCGCCGCTGCGGGTGCGCACTTGCACAATTGACTTCGTCTTCAGGACCACAGCCGGTGCGGAGGCAGGCCTGCCGCTGCCGCCGCCGCCCGCCGCTGCCGCGGGAGCCGCCGCGGGGCCGCCGCCGCCGCGCGCCGCCGCCGCCGCCGCGTCTTGCTGCCGTGGGGCGCTGCTGCCGGCACCTGTAGCGCGTGCGTGCTAGCTAGCAGGCCTGAAGCTCTGGCGGAGCGAGCTTGGCTGCGCCGCTTCCAGAAACCCTGCCCATCACACCCGGCCGTGCAGGCTCCACACGGCCCGTGGCAGCAGGACTACAGCCTTCCCAAGCACCCACCTCCTTCCTGCCCACTCTCGGCTTCGCTAGGCTGCGGTGGCTTGGCCTCTCCCGCTCCCCAAAATCGGTGGCGGCGGCGGCGGCGGCGGGGCGGCCGCCTCCTCCTGTCCTGCTGCAGGCGCGCCCTCCTTGCTCGCAACGGCTTGCTGGGCCTCCTGCATCTTCTGCCACTGGTCGAAGAACGAGCCGTCGTTCTTGAAAGGAACTTGACCTGCCATGACGCTGGTTTCAGCCTCCCCGACGCAAGGTGGTTGCATGCAAGCAACGTGAGTGTTGAGGCGCGCGTGGAAGCAGCGGCCATGGCCGGCCAGCAGCCTAGGGGCGCCCATGTGTTGGGCAACACATGCTGTTTCCTGGCCTTTCCTCCCGCCCCACCGCAAAACCCAGCGCCTGGAGCCCTCCAAGTGACTCCTGGTAACCCTGTCGAGCCATCCCAAACCCACCAGCACCCCCTCTGCCCCCAAACTGGGCCACACCCCATCGCCCTTGCAGCCCCCTCCCCAGCAGCGGCCGGCGGGCAGCCATGTCAAAGCGGGACCTCGTCAAATACGCCAGGGAGCTGGTGATGGCGGGCGTCGGTGACATCCCGCCCTGGCTGTATGCGCTGATGAGGTGCCGCCGCCGCCGCCGCCGTGCTCTTGCCTTCTGGCATCCGTGCACACCACTGCCCCGTCGTTGCTGCTGCCGGCATCAGCACGCTGCCGCTCCGAAACAAGCTGCTGCCCCCAAGCAGGCCGCCGCCTCTGCCCCTGGCTGCCATGCACCCGCCGCCGCCTCCCCACCGCCGCCACCTCCCGGCCACCGCCTCACCGCAGGACGCCGCCGCTGCCGGTCAAGCCGCTGCGCAAGGGGCGGCCGCCGCCCATCAAGTTCCCAGAGGACAGCCTCATCGACGCCTACTACCGCAGGCACCCAGAGGTGGGCTGCCGGGCAGGCCGGAGGCGGGTGGTGGCAGGGCGGCACAGGCTGAAGGGCCCCTGCTGCTCTGCGGCACACCGCCCCTCCAAACCGAGTGCACACACACGCGCACGCGCGCGCGCACACACACATCCACGCACACACCGTCGCCCCCTGCAGGCCCGCCTGGAGGCGATAGACCTGGCCAGCTTCGAGCCGCCCACGGGGCGCCGCTTTGCGTTGCGCCAGCTGGAGCTGATGTCGGAGGAAGGGGGGGGCCTGAGCAAGATTGAGGCGTCCATCCAGGTGCCCTGGGGTGTGTGGGGTGGGTGCCTGTGTGACTGTGTGTGTGTGCGTGTGTGTGACGTGTGTGGGTGGTGTGTGGGTGTCAGTGTGGGTGTGAGTGCATGTGTGCTTGCCGAGGTGTGCGCATGGGTGGCAGGCGTGCGCACAGTCGCCGCGGGTTGGTAGGCTGAGCCGCGCAGCCGCCGCCCTCCTCCCGCTGCCGCCTGCTGCGCAGGTGGAGAAGGAATTCTCGTCTCGGCAGGAGGCGGCGGCTGCGGCGACGGGCGTCAGGCAGCAGAGCATCATCGAGCAGATCCAGGTGGGGACTTGTGTGTGTGTATGTGTGTGTGTGTGGGCGTGTGTGTGGGTGTGTGGGTGGGATGTGAGCGGCCGGCGGATGTGTTGGTGTGTTGGTGCGGGGCGGAGCCACAAGGGGGGGCGGCGGCCCTGCGAGGCGCCTTGGGCCGCGGCGCACCGTCGGGCGGCCCTGCACGGAGGCGCCCGTGTGGCCAGCCACCGCCGCGTGCTGCCACCCACCGTCACCGCTGCTGCTTGGTGCAGGCGGAGGAGGAGCGCCACCTGCAGCAGGCACTGCGCCAGTACGCCACCTCACACGGCCCCACCACCGTGCGGCAGCACGCGCAGGAGCTGTGGCAGCAGCAGCACACGCGCAAGCCAGCGGCGGGCGCGCAGCTGGGCAAGCAGCAGCCGATTGCCAAGCAGGCCTTGGTCAGGCGGCAGGCCAAGGAGCCGTGGAAGCAGCCGAAGCAGGCAAGCAAGGCGGCGGCGACGGGCAACGGGACGGCGGCGCCAGCGGCAGCGGCAACGGCCGGCGCTGCGAGCTAGCCTGCCTATGTGCCGCGCACCCTATGCTGTTCGAATTTCGTTCTGTGTAGCCCTTTCCTGCATTCTTCTTGTGCAGACTGGCTGCTCAGCCCAATGTCCCGCCCCACCGCAGCGCTGCGCAGCAGGGAGTGGTGGTGTTGATCAGCGCGCAGAGCCTGCTGATGTTGGGCTTGCGGGTTGATGCATGTGTCCTGGTAAAAAGCAGCCCTAACAACGCCGACAGCCCTCATCGCCATCTCCGAGTCTCGCATCCCCGGCACTCCCGACTCAGCAAACAGCCCATTCGGCGAGCTTTGATCGCCAGGAACCCGTGTGTCGCCCTCCGACAGCCCCGACACGCTCTCCCCAACCCCAACCCCAAGCGGCAGGTCCCCGCCCGGCCCCCCGCCGCCACATAGCGGGTCCCCCGCCGCCACCTGCAGCTGCAGCTGCAGCTGCAGCTGACCACGCTCTGCTCCCATGGTGGTGAATCCTTCGTACGCTCGCATCCCGCACCCCGCGGGGTCCAGGTTCCGCAGCCGCAGGCAGTTCTACCCCTTCTACCTAGGTAAGCTTGAGGTGGGTGGTGGTGCCTCAGAGCCAGTCCCGCCGCTGCGCCACCCAGCCCTGCCCTCCCCTGACCCGCCGCCGCCCTGCGCACCCGTGCACGCGGCAGGCGAGCATGCCAACCGCACCTGCCGCCGCCTGCACGTGGCGGGCACGAGCTGCGCGCTGGCGCTGGCGGCGGCCGCCGCAGCGACCCGCCAGCCCGGCCTGCTGCTCTATACAGGGCTGGTGGGGTATGGCTTCGCCTGGCTGGGGCACTTCTTTTTCGAGAAGAACAGGCCAGCCACTTTTAGGTACCCTCTCTGGTCTCTGGCCTGCGACTTCCAGCTGTGGTGGGAGGTGGTGTCCGGAGCACGTGCCTTCTGACCTCCCGCACCTTCAAGCAGCTTGCGGCAAGGGTCGCTCGGCCTGGCCGCGCCAGCACGTGCCCCGCGCCTCGCCGCTGCCGCCGCCCGATCAGCGATGCCATGACCGGGCCAGCTCCTGCAAGGCTCTGACCTGCGAGTTGCGGCCACCCTGTGCGCTCTTGCTCCCCGCTCGCTGCACGCCTGTCCTCATCTCTACGCGCCCCACCACCTCGCTGTGCACCTGCAAGCTGTAAAGCGCTACATGTGACGAAATGCTGGCCCGCCAGCGGCAAGCGTGCATGCCGGCTGATGGTAGCCGCCTGTACCTTCGTGCTGAGTCAGCAGTACCACGGGGTGCCCCTTGGACTTCCTCTGCCTCTCACAGCCCCAATCGCCTTGCGAGGTTGCTCCCCACAGGCAGGGCAGCATGCGCCCGCACCTCCCCCTGGCTTGGCTCCTGGCGGCGGCACTGTGCCTGAGCCAGAGCACAGCGGCAACAGCCGCCGAGCAGACCTTCAGCCTCCCCGCCTTCTCCAAGGTCCAGTCCTGCCTCCCCTTCTCCCTGCTGATTCGCCCCAGCGCCGCTGGCGCCGCCGCGGCGGCCACAAACGGCGCGGCAGCGCCCCCCGCGGCGCCCTACAGCCTCACGGTGGCGGCCGAGGAGGAGGCGGTGGCGTCCGCCGTCAGGCACGAGGTGGCTAACGGCACGCTGCGCCTCTCCCTGTCCGCCCCGCTGGCCACCCTCGGCTGCGTGTCGGCCATCGTGGAGCTGCCGGGAGACGCGCTGGCAGAGGTGGGTGCGGTCGCCGCCCTTCCAGGCAGCCCAGCCGTGTTGTCAAGTTAAGCATGGAGGCTGAATGCGGTGGGAGTGAAAACCCCACAAGATCAGTCACTGCTTGTGCCCTTGCCCAGCGCTCCCGCAGGTGCGGTCCGTGCTCAGCAACGGCCACGCCGCCGGTGACCTGTCCACATCCGCTGCCGGCGACTTCCCTGCGATAATCATCGAAGGTGCCTGGGGCCGGGCAGCTGCGCTGCAGCACTTGCCACAACTTGCGATCGAATCGAATTTCCCCTGCCCTGCCTAGCCACACCGCAGGCCCCTTCACCGTGCCCAGCCTGACGGCGGCGGTGCTGTATGGAGGCCAGGGCGACCCTCGCCTGGTGATCCGCAACGTGACGGCGGGGCAGCTGACCCTGTCAGCGCTGAGGTGGGAGGGTGCCTCGGGGAGGGCTTGGCTACAAACCAGGCGCTCGCTGTGGGATTGGTTTGGCTGCTGCTGCTGCTGCTGCAAGCTGAGGCGGCAGCACTGCGCGACATGGACCACAGCGTGCAGAGCATGCACAGCACGCACGCCGCAGGTAGAACTAGCAGTGCCTCGCTGAACCGGCGCTGCGTTTCGCCTGCCGCAGGTGCACGTGCACGACGGTGGCGTTCGTCAGCGGCGCCTTCCGAGAAGCCAGCCTGTACACCCGCCTCATCAGCTGCCCTGAGCCGTACCTGGGCCGCCGCGCGGACGCCTGCCTGCTGCCCGGCATCGTGCTGGCGGGAGTCACGGGTGGGCATGGCGTGGCGGCGGCGGTTATTTTGCTCAGACAGGCTGTGCCCTGCGCACCGGTCCGCCAGCCTGCCAGCATGGCATGGCACGCCTGCGCCAGCCCTTTCGCTGAATGCGTGATCTGCCGCCCCCAAGACGTCTGCGTTGTGTCGCCGCCATGAGCGCTGCCACAGAGCGGTTCAGCATCAACGCGTCGGAGCAGGGCTGGATGACCCCCGCCGACATCACCACCCCCAACGCCAGCCTGGAGATCCAGGGCCTGGCCGGCCCTCCCCTGATCGCCAACGCCGGCCGCTGCAACTTGCACCTGCCCCCGCCCACGCCCATCTCCGCTGGCGCCATGCCAATGCCTCCCCCTGATCAGTGGGTCAGCTCCCAGCCCTGCAGCATCAGCGGCCGCATCGACCCCGAAAACACGCTGCCCGCGCGGTTCGATGCCGCGGTGGGGGCGGCGGCGGGGGCCGCCGGCCCTGCGGGAGGCAACTTCTCCGCCTCCGGGTTGCAATTTCAGCCAACCTGCAGGTTTGCGATGGGTCCCAACCTGACGGCCGGCTGCGAGGCCGCCCTGCCGGGCAGCGAGGCGGCGTTTGACGAGGCGTCAGCGCTGGCGCTGGCGCGCGGGGCGGCGGCGCCGCTGCTGGGGCCCACCGCCGGTGTGAGGGGAGAGGCGTGGCACAGTGGAGCTGAGGCGGGGGCGACCTCCTGCTAGGCTGCCACCCTGCACACCTCACCGCAATGCTGTCCACTGCCCTGCCCCTGTCCCACCCCTTGCAGAGGAGGTGCTGAACGCCACGCTGGCGGCGGCCAGTCGCTACGCTGCCGAGGCGGCGGCGGGGGACGTTGCAGCCGCCGCCAACATCACCGACCCTCCGGGCGTGAACGTGGATGTGGACATGCTGGTGCTGCTGACGGTGGGCTGGTCGGGGGTGCATGTGGTGTGGTGGGGTGTGCTGGGGTTGCAGTGTGGCATGGCATGGAGTGGCGTGGCGGGGCGAGACAAGGCGCGCGGATGCCTGTCTTTTTGTGGAGTGGGTGTGCCGCCAGTTCAGTGGGCCTGGCAAGAAGGCGTCCCGCCACCCCAACCCCCGCCCCGGGACCCGCAGGTGGTCGCGCTGAGGGAGGGCGGGCGGCTGGGGGCCCTGGGCGCCGCCAACGCCACCACTTGGGGGGCCGGCACCCGCTACGGGCCGCGGGACTCGTACCAGAGGTGCGGGCATGATCTCATGCGGGGTTGGGGCTAGGGATGGAGCCGGAGTCTGGCTCTGTCCAGGTTGGCGGTGCCGCTGCTTCCAGGAGGGCGCACCGCATGCATGCCACGCAGTGCGGCTGGAGGTGCTGGAGGCCGCAGCATGTACCCACCCCTCAACCTGCCGTCAATCTCTGGCGCCCTGCATCGGCTGCGCATTCAAGTTGGCTGTGCCAGCCCCTCGCACCCGCCCCTCAACTCATGCGCATGCGCAGGGCCGTGGCGGCCCTGGTCAACGCCAACGACACCGCAGCGCTGCGCACCGCCTTTGAGGCGGCCGCCGAGTGGGACCGCCAGATGGGGCCGGGCACGTGGCTGGCGGATCCCGGGATGTGGCTGGCGGGCGCGGTGCGCGGCGACTGCACCGGGGGCCAGGCGAGTGGGCACATCCCGACTTGCGCGGATGCATGACAGCAGCTTGTCGGGCCGTGACAAGGGCCTGGCATGAGAGGCGCCACGCCGAGGCGTGGCGCCGACATCTGGATGATGTGGTTCTGCCTCGGGGCGCATGCGGAAGGTGCTGGCCAGCACCTTCCGCTGCCAGCAGCTGCACCTCAAGCCTGGGCCTTTTCTTCCCCCCCGAAACACTACACCTATCAACTGCCCGGCCCTGCAGACCTGCCTGGTGGACTGGGGCCGCGTGCGTACACAGGAGGCCGCCGCCCTGCTGCTGGCCGCCGGCCTGGCGCTGGCAGACGGCCACCTTGCCAACGCCACCGCCGCCGCCCTGGTGGCAGAGTCATGCCAGGTCAGTGCGGCCAGCGGTACCGGTCGGTACCGGTCAGCAGCAAGTCATAGTGGAGTGGCAGGCGCCGAGCAGTGAATGATTCTGGACCTTGCCGGCCAGCTGCTGTGCGGGTAGGGTACCCTACTCCCCCTCGCAGCTACTGCGGAGCTTCGTCCCCCACCTTTACCTCCACCTTCATCTGCAGTCCTGCAACACCGTGGTGGAAGCGCCGCCGGCCCTGACCTGCGCCCAGGTGCCGGCTGTGCTGGACAGGGCCGCCCAGCTGGCTGAGCAGTGCGGGTGGGGCACGCGCGACCAGGTGAGGCTTGCTGCGGGAGCGCCGCGCCGCCAGCCAGCTGCCAGGTGCCAGCTGCCAGCAGGAGGCACCGCCCGGCACCACATACCGTGGCACCCGGAGCCTGCTGGGTGCAGGTAATGATGAATGCCAGGCGTGTGGACGACCAGGCCTGGAGGGCCTGCATGGGGTAGCTCACTGGACCGAGTGTGCAGGGCTGTACAGCGAGCCAGCGTCCGTGGCGCAAAGGTGGGGTGCCTCCCCGTCTCCCCTGCCTCATACATTTCCTGCTGTGCAAGCGTACAGTCGAGGAACCACGGTGTGCTTACTTCTAAATGTAAAATATAGCACAATATGTTCGGAGCATCATGGATACCAGTGCCCAAACATCACGGAAGCAGCCGCACCGCCGCCGCTACCTCCGCTGCCGCCCCGCTGCAACGCGCTCCTTGAGGGCCCGCAGCGCCGCCAGCCCTCTGCTGCTGCTCACGGTCACGCGGCAGTCTGGGCCGGCAGGCGCTGACACTGCTGCTCTGAGAGAACTGATATGTATGAGTCTGTCGCAATCCGCTCCAGCAGCAGATGGTGGTGCCTCTGGTTCCGAGGCAGGCGCCGCCTCCGCGGCAATCGAGCCGGGAGCGCGGGCGCTTGCCAGCGCCGCCGCCTGATGCGCAGCACACCTGGCCAGGGTGGCCGCAATGAAGTCATCAGTGCTGTTGGTCGGGTTCACTGCTGATGCTGCATTGCTGGCGCCCAGCCAGCTGCCCTCGCCCCGGTCGTGCTTGAACGCCAGGCCGCCAGCCGGGCTGCTGCAGCCGCCAATCTCGCCGAGCGTGCTGCAGCTGCTGCAGCTCATTGGGCGCAGCCGCCAGTCGCGCTGGCGGGCTGGGCATGGTCCCTGCGCCTCTCCCCAGCTGCCGCTGCCGCCGCTGCGCTGCCAACAGGCGCTGGCTGGGGCGGATGCCACTGAAGGCGTGGCATCAGACAGATGGTCAGCTAGGCCCCTGGGGTGCACTCGGCCGCCTGCTTGGCCTGCTGCAGCCGCAGCGGCGGCAGGCAGGGCACATGGCATGCCAGCAGCCCCTGCCTCGGATGCCCCCACCGCGTGGGACACTGCCGGGGGCGTGGCTGCCAGCTGTTGCTCCGCCTGCTGCTGATCACAGCTGAGGCTGGGAGGCGGTGGGGCCACTGCCCTGCTGCTCACGTTGTCCACAGGCACACCCAGCACTGTGCCTGGGAGCTGTGCCGGCGGCTGCAGCTGGCCCGCTGCAGTGGCCGGCTTGGCGTAGCTGCTGTCAGCAGGCGCAATCTGCGCCGCTGAGAGCGGGGACAGACCGCTGCACTCAGACCCTCCGTACCCGCCATCTGTTGCCATCGACTGCCGCAGCCCCGCTGCCGCCGCCAGCTGGTGACGCAGCAGGCGGTAGCGCAGCGCCCGAGCCTTGTGCCTGCAGGGAAGGGGAGGCATGGCATGCGCCTGTTTCATGCTGTGATGCAAGCAAGCTTGACCTGCACCGTTGCAGGCACTATGCTTGCTCCAAGCGTACCTTCCCGCTAGCCTGATGCTGGCGTCAGTGCCGGTGCAGCTGCTGTCGGTCAGCAGGGAGCCGCTGTCCTCACTGCTTGGGCAGGTGCTGCTGCTGCCGCTGGTGGTCGGTGTGGCCGTCTGGCTGAGGCCTGCTGAGGGCGGCGGGGGAGGGGTGGCATGCGCAGCCGGCTCCGTCTCGGCCTGAGCAGGGTCGGCAGCCCTCCACAGCCACTGGCCTTGCCCCGGATGGCGCCTCTGTTGCGGCACGGCAGGCGCCGCCTCTCCCGAATCAGGCGCTGGCACGAGGGCAGCGGGCGCGGCGGCAGCCTGGTGCAGCTGTGCCGCCGTCGGCAGCTGCTCCGCGGCTGGGTCGGGCGCTACCAGTTCTTGCTGCTGTGCCTCCTCTGACTCACAGCCTCCGCTGATGCCCAGCTCAGCAGCATACTCGTGCCAGAGCGCCAGCATGTCGGCACGCTCCCGCAGCCGCCGCCAGCCGGCGGCATCCCGCTCTCGCCGCGCCGCCGCCGCCGCCTCGGCCGCCGCTTTGATGGGATTGTAGGGCGGCGCTGGCCGTGGCACGCCCAAAGCGGCTGGCATGGGCAGCGCCACACCCTGCTCAGAGGCCTCGGGCTGCACGGCTGCTTCAGGGCTGGACGTGTTGCTGGGAGCGGCAGCGGCGGCATGTGTGGTCTCGCATGCTGGGGCCGCCTCGGCGCTGCTGCATCCAGCTGCCTCGCCATTTCCGTCGCCTGTTTCCACCATTTCTCCAGGCCTGGGGACAGCAGATCGCCCCATCGCTCGCATGGCAACATCCCAGGCTCCGTGGTCAGCCTGCTCTGCTTCGTGCTCCTCAACTGCATGATTGATCTGCAGCATTGGCCGGTCTGGCAGGAGCTGTTGGGAGGAGGCTGGCAGTCCACGGCATGTAGGCAATAGCGAAACGCTACTAGCAGGCAGCACTTGTCGAACAGGGAGCCTGACCTCACCTGGCGGTACTGCGCTATCGCCAGCGCCGCCATGTCATCCAGCAGAGCCTGCTGCTCCTGCCCCTGCTGCCCTCCCCCATCCTGCTCTTTAGAGGCTGCCAAGTCAACCGGTGGCACCATGCCTGTGCAGGCCGGGCTGGCACTTGCCTCGCTGGCACTAGCGCTGCTGGTCTCCTTGGGCGGCTCGTCCTCCAGCTCTTCGTCGGAAGCCACAGAGAAGCTGGCATCGCCCTGGCCCTCCTGCTGTGCCTGCTGCTGGTCCTGGTGGAGGGCGCCGTAGGCAGGGAAGCCTGGCACCACTGCTGACTGCGGCTGCAGCATCAGGCCGCTGCTTCCGCCCCAGGGCAGCAGCCACTGAGGCTGGCTGGGAAGTTCCAGCGGAATGCCAATCGCTGCGCATACCATGGAAGGCTGGGTGGGGGCGGGGCAGCCAATGGGTGCGGATCGCACAGCGGCTGGCATATCAGTCGATGGCAGAAGTTGAGCGGGCACTGGCTGGTTGGCATCCTCGGTTGGCTCTGCTGCTGTCGTTGGTTGGCGAGCTGGCTGCTGCTCCACATGCTTGTGGTGCATCTCCCCTTCATGAGCAGCCGCAGGCTGCGCTCTGTGTGGAGCCACAATCACCGAGCATGCAGGGGGCTCGCCCGGGGCGAGACTGAGGCTGCCGGCCAACGGCGGCGAGGCTGGCTGTTCTGCCGGCCGGCCTGCGAATGTTGAAGGGCGTGGTTCTGCCTGCGGCTGCGCCATGGCAGCTGCTGGCGCGGCTGCGGGCTCCCGAGCCATGCAGGCTACAGCCGATTCCGCGCCGGCCAGAGCCGCCTCCATGGCAGCGGCCCCAATGCGCTGAAGCCTGGCCTCGGCATGCAGCGCCGCCGCCAACCCGGCTCCGACATCCTGCAGCTGTGCGCCGCTGCTGTCGAGCAGGTGGCTGAGCCGGCAGCACAGCGCGTCTGTTTGCGCGGTGTCTGGGGCTGCTGGGCCTGGCAGCGAAGCAGGCACACAGCTGGCGCTGGGCGGCGGTCCACCATCAGAAGCCGCCGCCGCGGCTGCTGCCGGCAACAGCTGCTCAGAAGCAGCAACAGGAGGGGCCACGGCGGGAGGGCTGGCGGGCCGTGCAGCGATGGCATCCATACGATCTAGCACAATCTGCGGGGGTGGCGGGGAGGGCACCACAGAGGCGTGTGAGTGAGTGGCCTGCTTTGAAGCCAAACTTGCAAAGGCATGGCCTCGATGCAACTGAAGCACTGCCCTCTGCAGCATCAAGGCCATTCGGCAGAGACACACCTGGAGCAGGCTGCTTGCGTCCTGGGCCTCCACTGCGGTGATGCCTTGCTGTTGCAGCACTGCGTGCACGCTGCTGCCATGAGCATCGCCGCTCAGAGCAGCCTCTGCCACAGATGAAGGCTGCAGGCCGTGCAGCGCTGCAGTCAGGTCCCCCAACAGCTGCTGCAGCTGCCCGGCGCCCCCCATGCTGTTCAGCAGCACTGCGGGGGCTGCTGTACCTGCACCCCGTGACGCCTGCTCGCCAGCGGTCTTCCCAGAAGGAATGCCGTCACGTCCAGCAAGCGCGGTTCCCAGCGAACGCAGCAGATCAGGCCGCGGCACACCAGAGGCTGCTGCAGCTGCCGAGCCGGCTGCTGGGCCCTTGGCGCCCTGCCTGTCTGCCACTGCCGGCGCAGCTGACGGCAGCTGCGGAGGTGTGGGCGCCTGCGCTGCATCCAGCCGCACAGGCTTCAGGCTCCTGGTGGTGCGGGGTGCATCGCACCGGGTGCCGAATGCTACATGCGGTCTCTGCCGCTTGCAGGCTGGCGACCCTGCAGGTGGGGCCGGCACCGGCAGCGGCGCTGCCGCTGCACGCCTCTGGCCGGCTGGCCTGCCATCCTGCGCCTCTGCTGCAGCCAACGGGGGTGCATCATGCGAGGAGCGCCCCCGCTTCCGTGCCTGCCCCGCAGGCACGCTGACCTGCTGCAGGCTGCCGAGTGGTCTCCTGCTGGGCTGCTCCTGTGAAGCTGCCTCTGGAGCTGGCTCGCGGCAGGGCTGGGCAGGCTCCTGCCCCTGGGGCTGCTGGCGGCGTGGGTACTCGCTGGAGGGACCCAGGGGCGGGCGCAGACGGGCGGCAGCAATGCGCTGGTCAACCTCTGCAGCCACAGCCGCAGAGAAGGCCTCAAAGCTGCCCCACAAATCATCTTCGCCGCTGTTGGCGGCAGGGGGTGCTGGATGTACGGGTGCTGGCTGGGCAGGCGATTCCGCACCGCTGCAAGCACGGGCCATCAGCAGCGGTGTAAGTAAGAGGAGCAGAGAAAAGCTGTCTACCTAAATCCGTGTCAGCTCGTCAGCACAGCAGAGCGGCAGTGTGTACCTCTCTGCACCCACGCCGGCGGCTCTGCCGCCGCCACGCCGCTGCTGGCGGGACAGTGCCTTGGCAGCACGGCGTGCCTGCTCCAGCTCAGCCTTGGCGGCTGGGTAGTCGAACGCGCCACCCAGAGCACTCAGCACGCGCCTGCTAGGGCAGGGAAATGATGCATTTAGGTGGTAGGCCACGCTATTGCCTTGGTGCGGCTGGATGACACGTCGTGCTAGCTTTCACAGCCCGACACCCACCTCTCCGCCTCCTCCCGCGCCGTCTCGCCCTGCGCCTCTGCCGCCGCGCATTGCTGCGGGTAGAGCAGGCTCTGAGCCTGCAGGTCGCTCAGCGCGCGGTGCACCGCATTCTGCAGGTGGTGAGGCAGCGGCGGAGCGGCGCGGGCGTCCTCTGGCGGCAACGGTGGCGGCGGTGGCGCCATAGGGTGCAGGTGCCCCCGCAGCTCGTCAACAGCGTGATGCCTGCAGTGTGCTCCTCCTGCGATGCACGGCTAGGCCCGGCTGCCCCTGAGGGCAACGCGAGAGCAAGGGCAGAGGGAGCCAAACGTTGACCGCGCAAGATGGCGGCAGGGGCTGCGGCTCAGCTGATCTGATTTCGATTCACCCCAATTGAACGTTGGCGACGCTGCATGAGCTCTTGAGCCTTCAGATCAAATGCTGACGGGCGCCAGCGGGGCAGAGACGAATTGCCGCCGATATCCGCCCTGCGTGCCTGATCCATCGCCAGCATGACTTGCCTCACCATCGCGACGCCCCACTGCAGCAGCCGCGCCCCGGCGGTAGCGAGGGCGGCCGCAAGAATCCGCCTGCAGCTCTCCACTGCGCTGCAGCCCGCTTGTGCAGCTTACGGAGGCCCCTGGAAGCAGCAGCGGCCCGACAGAGCCCGTCAAGTGGCGCGCGCAGGTTAGTGCCGAAACCCCAGAGCCGTTCCTTCGTGGCTGCACACGCTGACGAGCCCCATGACACCTGCCCGTGATGCAGCCGACACGGAAGCAGCCGGGGCGGTGCTACCCACTGAATGGTGAGCCTGCCGCCATGCTGCCGCCGCCCGTTCCGCCGCCCACCCGCCTGCTCGCCATAGCTGAAGCGGCCCGCACCACTACCTGCGTGCAGGCTGCAGAAAGTGATCGAGCTGCCGCCGCTGTCCCGCGGCTGCCACGTGATCACGCGGCAGCTCTTGCAGCAGGCAAGCCTGCCTTGCGATGCCGCATCCTGAGCTGGTACTGCTGCCGGTGCCGGGCTGTCACCCACGGCCATGCCCACCGTGCACCCTCCCTGCAGCTGCCAGAGCTGGCGGAGTTTGAGGTGGGCATGGCCAACCTCTTCGTACAGCACACCAGCTGCTCCCTCACCATCAACGAAAACGCCTCGCCCGGTGGGTGCATGCTTGCTTTTTGCTTTTTGGTCTGGTTTTACAGTCTGCATATCCACAACAGGAACTTGCGACACAGACATGCGCGAGGTGGCGCGTTGTTGTGCATGCATGATGCATGACTTGGTTGGGTTGTTGGCCTGCATGCACGAGGAGGCGGATGGCTTGCCCCAGCAACCCCGCTGTTAATGGCTTGTAGCGTGCGTGACCGCTCCGCCCGCCTGCAGACGTGCCGCTGGATCTGGCCGACAGCCTGGACCGCATTGCACCAGAGGGCAACAAAATCAAGTACCGGCACGACGACGAAGGAGATGACGACATGCCAGGTCAGAGCAGCACGCGGGCTGCAAGTGCAGGCCGCCTGCCTGAGCCAGGGCGTCCCTCCTCCTCCTCCTCCTCCTCCTCCTCACCTGCCTGCCCAGCTGCCCTCCCGCCTGCCTGCCTGCCTGCAGCTCATGTCAAGGCAAGTGCTCGCGCCGGGACTGCTTCAGATCAGGCAGCGCAGGGGTTGTTTTCAGGGGGTCATGCTGCCGGGCATCGCCCTGCACCCCACAGCACCTGCTGGCAGCACACACTTCCTGTTTTCGGTTCCTCGGGTGGCGACACACCTGCCTCCCACCCTCCCTGCCCGCCCTGCAGTCGTCGCTGATGGGCGCCAGCCTGACGGTGCCGGTGCAGCACGGCCGCCTGGCGCTGGGCATCTGGCAGGGCGTGTACCTCAACGAACACAGGCAGGCTGCGGACCCCCCTGGCAGCACGCGCTGCTGCCCCATGGCAGCATGCTGCTGCAAGCTGTGTGGCTATGCCCCGGCCCAATTCTCGTTGGGCTGCCGACCTCGGTTTGAGGAGCGCGGCTGACCCAGAGGCCAGTCCCTGTCCCCGCCGGCCCTGCCGCGGGTGCTGCAGGAACTACGGCGGCCCCCGGCGGCTGGTGGTCACGGTGCAGGGCCAGCGGCGGGCAGACGGGCGCAAGTACAGCGGCTACCGGTGACGCGAGCAGGGCTGGCGGGCCGAGGATGGGCGGCGGCCGCCTGCCTTGAGCGCAAGCGTGTACTATTCTCCCTCAGGCTCAAGCCTGCAGCAGCCCTCACAGCCCGTCTCTACTGCTCGATACGTCCTGGTCCCCGGCATTTCTGTCCCCTCGCTGTGCTTGTATTGCAACTGTTGAAATGATACATACAGGGAGTGCAATGGGAGGAGGGAACGGAGAGAGGTGCGGGGTGCACGTGCCTGGGTGCGGCGGCGGTCAAAACTCAAGTGCGGGAAGAGGATGGGGGGAGAGGGGCGAGGCGGGTCCTGCGCCCGCCTGTCAGCAGGTGGGAGAGGTAAGGCGCCGGGGCACAGCCCGGGATGCCGCTAGCGCTGGTGGTGCTGCAGCTTGCTGCGTGGGCGGTGGCACGGCTGCCGGTGCGACAGCGCTGCTGCTGCGCGGGCGCTGGCGCGGCTACCGTTGGGAGAGGGCGGCGGGGATGGTGCCCTCGCGGGCCGCCGCCGAGTCTTGCATCTCCAGATCCGCCATCTCTGCAGAGGCAGGGCAGGGCAGGGGCAGGGGCATGCGGATGGTTGGCCGGGATGGCTTGGGAAAAGGCAGCCCCTTTTCTTCAAGAGGAGGGCACAGCTGACGTGGAGCACAGGGCATGCAGCATGCAGGGGCGGCGTGGACGACTCGACATGCGGGTGGAGGCGCGGCGGGCAGCACAGCGCCGGGCAGCACAGCGGCGCCGATGCCGGCAGGCACAGGGCGGAGGGTGCCGGGCTGCGCACCCGAGGCCTTGCGGCTGATGGCTCGCTCCAGGAAGATGCCGGCGCCGATGCCGGGCGCATACTGCCGCAGCAGCGCCTGCACGCACGCATAGGGCGGGGGGCCCAGCCCGGCGGGAGGAGGGGTGAGCAGGGGCAGAAGGCGGCGAGGGGTGGGCCGTGCAGCGGCCAGGGCCCCTGTCACGGAACGGGCAAGAGCCGACCCGTCCCAAGCTCCTGAGCCACCCAGCAGCCAGCCCTCACTTCCCCCCTCCCTGCCAGCCATCCAGCTGCCCAGCCCACCTCGTAATGCTTCTTCACCAGCTCAAAGCGCTGCTGCGCGACGACGGCCGCCTCCTGCTGCGCCGCCAGCCCCGCCCGCTCCCCGCCCCGATCCTCCTCCACCCGCCGCCGCTCCGCCGCCTCGCGCTCGGCGGCGGCCGCGGCGGCGGCCGCGCGCGCGCCGGCCGCCTGCTCCGCCGCCTGCGCCTCTGCCAGCTGCGCGCGCAGCTCCGCGGCGGCGGCCTCGGCCTCGGCGCGCGCCGCCGCTAGCTCCGCCTCCGCCCGCTGCTGCAGCACCCCCTTCACCTCCAGCAGCTGCTCCCTCAGTGCATCCACCTCGCCCTGCGCCGCCTCCGCCTGCTGCGCCTTGGCCCGCTGGATCTCGCTCTCGGCGGCCGCCAGCTGGGCCTGGTAGTGCTGGGCCATGCGCCGCATGTCGGCCTGGTGCAGCGACTCCTTGGCCTGAAGGGGCGGTACAGGAGCCGGGGCAGCCGTAGTTGGTGGGAGGGAGGAGTTTGAATGCGGCGAGGCGACAGGAGGGGAAGCGGGTGGCGGGTGGCGAGCAGGCGGGGCAGCTGGGGCAGCCAGGCTGCACGCATCCCCTGGGCTCTGGCACGCGCCCAACCAACCGCCCACCATCCAACAACGCCCCGCCACCCACCCAAATGACGCCCCCCCCACCAACCACCCAATGCGCCCGCCCCGCCCCACCTGCTGCGAGGAGCGCAGCGAGGCCAGCACCGCCGTCAGCAGCCGCTCCTGGTCGTGGATGACGCTCTGCAGCGCAGCAGGCACAGCAGGCACAGCGGGGGGCAGCGGGGGCAGTGGGGAAGTGGTTGAGAACACACAGGGAGGTCGCTGATTCCAGGCGAGGCAAGGCCGTGCAGTGGCGGGCGAGCGAGAACGGCGTGTTACGCTACGTGCCATGCGGCGGCAGGCCAGGCTGCCAGCTGCCCTCCTTCGTCCCACCCCCCTCCTCTCCTCCTCCCACCGCCCCTCCTGCCCCACCTGCGTGGTCTGCAGGTCGCGGAACAGGCGCTGCTCCCCCGGCGTGGCAAAGTCGGCCTCGCTGGCGGACAGCGAGGCGAGGTTGGAGGTGCGGCGCTGCAGCTTCTTGGAGCGGGCCGCCAGCTCAGCACGCAGCTCCTCCTCGCTCATGCTGGGCACGCCTGCGTGTGCGCAAGTGTGCGTGGGAGGAGGGAGAGGCGGGTAGGGTGAGCAGGGCGGTGAGGAAGAGCGCAGGGCACACGCTGGAGGAGGGTGTGGTGGGTGGGCAAGGGCTGGCTGCCTGCCTGGCGGGACACATGCCAGGAACGCAGGATGGGGGCAGGCAGGCGACTGGAGGTGTGCCGAGGTGACGAGGCCCAGCAAGCGCATCCCGGCAGCGTGGCGGCAGGCGCAAGAGGTAGCAGGCCGGCTGCACCGCAGCACCACGCAGCCACGCACAGCTCACGCCGTGCAGGCACAGCAGCAGCAGCAGCAGCGGCAGCGGCAGCGGCGCTCACTCTGCAGGAAGGCGTCATCGGCCGCGGCGGCCGCCACGCTGGTGCTTGCGTCCTCCTGCTGGCGCCGCACCTGCCGGTTCAGCACATCCTTGTACTCGGCCTGCATGGGCGGGAGGCGGTGGGCGCAGGCACGCCATGAAATTGAAGGAAAGGGCAGCTTTGACTGCAGCGAGCAGCGCGTGCTGTTAAATTTGTAAAGTGAAGGACGAGAGGGCGAGAGGGCCACGGGCCTGTGCCCGCCCGCCTCCCCAACATCGCCCAGGTGCACCCGGCGCCCCGACCCACGGCCGCCGCTGGTCTCCCTGGCGCGCGCCTGGCCCCGCACGTGCATCCCAGCACACCACACTTACGTACTGCTGCAGGCAGGGCCCCTTGCCCCACCACACACACCCACACAGCGGTGCAGGCACGCCCCCTCGCCTCATACACACAGCACACACACAAACACATACACACGGCACAGCACACACCTGCAGCGATGCCAGCGCGGCCTTCAGGTCCCGGTTTTCCTTGCCCAGCTCCACCTGTTTGGCCTCGTAGGCAGCCACCACCGCCTTGAGGCCCTCGTCCGAGCGCAGGGCGGCGGCGGCGCCGCCGCGCCCGCCGCGCGCCCCCGCCTGGTCCGCCTGCGGGCACGGGGTTTGCGGGAGAGAGTGTGCGGGAGGGAGGGAGGGAGGATAGAGGTGTAGCTTTGCCGCGCCGCTGGCCCCGCCACGTCCAAACCCACAAACGCGACGCCATCACCAGCCCACACACAGGCCTGAATGCTGCGCCAGTTGGCCCCCCTCACCCTCCACCCCCACCCCCACACGCCACACCAACCGAGCCGCGCCTGCAGCTGCTGCGTCAGCTTCCCCGCCATGTCCAGCGCCGCCTTCTCGCTGCGCTTCTTGTCCGCCAGGTAGTGCGCCAGCCTGCGGGGGGTTGATGGCGGTGTGCTTGTGTGTGTGTGTGTGTGCGTGGATGGGTGTGCACGTGAGTGTGCGCACACGTGTGGACACAAGGGCAATGGCAGGAGCATGAGAAGAGGGCCGGAGCAGCCACGAGTCGCTGTGCGGCGTGACGGGGGCCAGGCTGGTCCCCACAGGACCCCGCATGCCTCTACATGCCGCCCGCACCTCTCCTGCAGCCTCTCATACTCCTTCTCCTTGCGCTTGATCTCGTGCTGCATCTGGACGATGCGCCGCTCGCAGCCGGTGACCTGCGGAGCGGAGGCGCAGCGGTGGTGGTGGTGGCGGCGGCGGCGGGATGGTGGGATGGGGCTCCGACGAGGGTGCGGTGCGGGGCAGCTGGCTAGCACACCTCACACCCTGCCTCCGGGCTCCATGCCTGCTGCTGTGCTTCTCCTGCGGCCAGCTCATCCCTGCTGCTCCCCGCCACCCCACACCCCTGCCGCCACACTGGCCCGCCACCCCTGCCAACCCTACTCCCCACCAACCCAGCCCCGCCCGCTCGCCTTCTTCTGCAAGTCCTCCGCCTCCTTCTTCGCCGCCTTGAGCTCCTCCCGGTGCTGCTCCCCGGCTGCCTTGGCCTGCAAGCAAGCGGCGGTGCCAGCAGTCACCGGCCAGCCCTTGGCTGGCCTCCACACCGACAACGCACCACCAGCGCCAGCACCGGCCGGCACCTCCCCACGCGGCCCCGCACCTTGTTTGTGAGCCCCCCTATCTCCCGCTCCTTGGCCGCCAGCCGCGCCTCCAGCCGCCCTCGCTCCTTGTCAGCAACTCCCATGTCCAGCCGCAGGCGGTGCATGTCTGCAGGGCAGGGTGGTGGAAGGCAGAGCGACGCACAGGCAGCGGCAGCTTGGCATGGGCGTACAGCGGCCCTGCCTGATACTGCTGCTAGTGAAATATGAGGACAGGAAGGAGCGGCAGGAACGGCCCTGCGCATGTGGCGTGCAATACATTCCGTGAGAGTGCCCGGCAGCCGGGCGAAGGCCCACCTTGCTTCAGCTGCTCCCGGAACTTGCAGTCCTTCTGGTGCTGCAGCAGCAGGCCGTAGATGGTGTTGCAGGTGGACACCACATCCGATGGCTCGGTGGAGAGCAGGTTGAGGTCCTGGCAGAAGCCCAGCCCTGCGGCAGCACGGTGCGGCGGAGCAGCAGCGGTATGCGGCAAGGGCAAGGTACAGGGCAACAGCCAAACAGGCGGTGCATGCACGCGGCAGGCATGGGACGCAGAACAGACACTGGGTGCCCCCCGAAGCTGCTGCGCTGCGCTGTTTGGGCCCCGGCTGTGCCGCGGCGCTGCCACCCCTCGACGCCGGCCGGCCGGCGGCACCAGCGCACCCGCCAGCGTGTTGCGAAGGAAGGCCACACTGCTGTGCAGGGTGCTCTCCGAGGCATACAGCCCCTCCATCAGCTCCGGGGCCTGCAGCGGCATTGGCCAGGTGGCGGGGGCCCCGGGCAATCAAGGAGCGGCGACGGCAGGCGGGAGGCGGCGACAGCCCGCGGCAGCTACCCTGGCGGGGGCCGTGGGGCCGGGCCGGGCGGCGTGCAGCCGATCAAAACACCCTGTAAACCCCGCTGGCCTCACCCCTGCCCCGTCCGAGCCGTCCAGAGCCGGCTCCATGGCGACAGCTGCCCTGTCGGGCGTGGTATGCTCAAATGCCCGCCTGACAGCTACAGGAGGGCTGTCCGAGACGCCCCAGCCGCTGCCCGGCTGCTGGGTGCCAGGCAAAGAGCGCGCCGATCGTCGACTCGAGTGGGCTATATGCGCGCTTTGAAAGCGTTGAAATTGCACTGGGAGGCTGATCGGCCGCTCGAGTGGCGGCCAGGGCCCCCCGTTTTCAAGAGCGGCAAACCAGAAGTACTGCGCGACCCGGGCACACGTACCTCGCGACCCCAGGCCGCTCAAAGACCGCCCCCGCGCCTGGCCCCTCCCTCTGCAAGTCGCCTCGACTGACTAGTAGCCGGCCTAGGCCTTAAACTGCTTCTAGCGTCGAGAGCACAATGAAGGTGGGGTGATGGCAGCGGGGTGCTGGGGCCGTCGGCAGCGCGCAGACAGAGGACAGCTCTCATCCAGCTGGTCGCAGCAGCCCGGCGGCACCAGCATGCTGCATGCAAGGCCGAGCCTCCCACCAGGCGCCGCTGCCAGCCACGGGGAGGGCTTGGAACGCCGTGCCCACGGCCACAACAGCAGCCTGGCGGCCCGCCGACGGCAGAGACCGGCCACTGGGTGCCGGCCGCCCAGCCCATCAGCTGACTGCCGCCGCCCGCCCGCCCGCCCTGCAGGTGGTCGCTGCTTACCTGCTTGCCGCTCTCGGCGGCAACGCCGCCCCCGGCGAGGCCGACATCAAGAAGATCCTGTCTTCTGGTGCGCCTTTGCTCTACAGCTGCTCGCGGCGGCGGCAGCCGGGCGGTGGCGTTGCTCATGTGATGCAGCGGCAGCTGGGGACAGCGTGTTGGGAGGCAGGAGCCAGTCAGGACGGCGCAATTTCAGTGCAGCCTGGACGCGCGGGCACTTCCAGCATGCCATGCCACAGCCTGCTGCCGCTGTCGCCGGCGGGCGGGAGAGCAAACGTGTCTGCGTCGCCCGCCCACGCTGTCCCTGCCCCTGCCGCAGTCGGCGTGGAGGCTGATGCCGAGCGCGTGCAGAAGCTGCTGTCCGAGCTGGAGGGCAAGGACGTGAACGAGGCAAGCATGGGCTGCTGCTTGCTGCGAGGCCCCGCGCCACGCCGCTGCCATGCCGCCGCCTGCCGATGTGCGAGCTGCGGGCCTGCTGCTGGGGAGGTGACACCGCGGCAGCAGGCGCGGCGGCAGCAGCGGCACGCATTGCGTCGGCAGGCAGCGGCGGGCTGGGCCTTTCGGGAGCAGCCTCGGAGCCTGCAGCTCGTGTGGCCGGACGGCCCGCATGTCTGGCAGGCGCCCTGGAGTGCTCAGCTGGCCTCCCCCGCCACTCGCTCTCCAAACAGCTGCCCCGCTTCGGCCGCTGCACTGGGCGCCCCGCCTGACTGCCAGACCCGGCTCCCCGGCTCCCTCTGTTGCTGCAGGTGATTGCCGCGGGTATCTCCAAGCTGGCCTCTGTGCCCTCTGGCGGCGCCGTGGCTGCCTCTGGTGGCGCCGCCGCCGCTGCGGGCGGCGCCGCCCCCGCCGAGGAGAAGAAGGAGGAGAAGGTTGAGGAGGAGGAGGACGAGGTGGGTGGCTGGCGCCGGCCTGGGTGCTGCCAGGCAGGGGAGGCGGCAGCGGGCTGTCGGGCCAAACAGCCCGCTCCGCCGCGCTCTTTACCACACAGCCCGGCTTCGCGGCTGTGCCATGCTGCCTACCCAGGTCCCAGTGCCGAGCATGTGTCCCTGTGCACCCGCCACCGCCTAGCTCAATGGTTTTCCTCTCCTTTCCACCTCCCCGCCGCCCTCTGCTGCAGGACATGGGCTTCTCCCTGTTCGACTGAGCTCCGCCCTGCTGAGCTCTGCGCGACCGAGATCCACGCGGCTGAGCTGGCGGCCCCGGTGCACGGTGCAGCCCTGCGCAGCACCCTGCGCCCCCGCCTGACTGCCGTCCACCTCCCAGCCCTGTAACCCAGGCGTTGCCAACTTGCTCGACCGAATAATGGAAAGGGAGAGCGTGAAGGGGAGAGTGGGGCAGGCACGAGGCTCTTCTCAGGTGGTTTTGAGCAAGGGAGAGACAGCGGTTGTGGACCTCCAGAGCGGGCTGAGTTGACTGGGGGGTCCCAACGCAAGTGCTGAACACAACTGCCGGTCGGGAGCCTGCTTTGATGATCTTTACTAAATATTCAATAGTATGTCCAGGGCATGAGACGCCGTGGCAACGCGTGGCGGCGCGTGGCGGCACCGGGCACGGGGATGCAGGGGCCGTGGTGTCAGGGCAGTGATCAAGTCGCCAGGAGGTCTTGAATCGCCACCAGGTTGTAGGCTTCGAGCTGTTATCGACCTCCGCCTGGCCCCCGCCGCCGCCCCCGCTGCCCGCCGCCAATCGTGACGCCTGCATCCAAAGCACCCTGTCTTGCCTGGTACACGGTGCTGCTGAGTCGTTCGCCTTGCCAGAAGCCGCGACTGCACGTGCTGCAGTCAGCAAGAGAGGCAGCAGCACGACGCGGCATGCTAAGTCACAGCCAGGGCCAGCACGAGAGCGGCAGGCATTATGCGGGCGGCAGAACAGCCGGCGTATGAATGCAGGCTCTATTTATTGTCTGACACATCTCCTGTTGTCAGCAGTCAACATGTGCCGACACTGCACCAGACCAGACCAGCGGCCGCCCGGTGGAGGCCCTCGGCTGCAGGTGCCATCCCTGGATGGTCGCAGATTCAAACGCATCACCATTACAAAGAAATTGGTTGCGTAAACCAGCTACAATGACATACAATGCGCCACTCCTCTCATTGCAGGCGCCGAAGAAGAATCGTCTGTCGTTGCCACCAGCGTTCACTTCAGCATCCCAACATGCTCACACCTCTGCCCCTCACTGCCCCGTCAGTCCAGCATCGCATCGTTTCCCGGCCACAGTACATACCCATCCCCCTAGCTGCCGAGCGGCGTGGTGCGGCCAGACAAGGGGGTGCTGCTAGTGCCGTTGCCACCCTGCTGCTGCTGGCAAAGGTGCGCCAGCTTTGATAGCTGCGCCAGCACCATCTCCTGCCCCTCCAGCAGCTTGCGCTGCTGCTCAGCCTGCTGCTCAATGGAGTGCTGCAGGCTGGCCACGCCAGTTTCCGCTCCTGCCTGAGCTGCCGCCGCCACCTCCTGCGTGCTCAAGCCCAGCCTGCAAAGCAGGCGACAGGGGGTCAGCAGGGCAGGCACCTAGATGGGTGGCAGGGGGCGGCTGCTGCTGACCCTGCGTCAGCTCAAAACAGCGGCGCAGCAAGCGTGCGGCGGGGGGATGCCCCACCTGGCAGCACACCCACCTGATGAGCACCTCTATGGGCCTGTCCACCTGGTCGGCGATGGCCGTGGCCTCCTGCCGCGGCATCAGCCGCGCCAGCAGCAGGCTGGCCACTTCATCCACGCCGCTGGCGAGCTCAGCAACACTCGTGCAGCCTGCACCGCGGAACGGACGGGCCAGGGCACAGCAGGCAGTTAGGCAGCAGGCACAGGAGGAGCTCAATCTGAGCGGAGGTCTGCCTGGCCGAAGCAGTGAACAGGGCGGCAGCAGAGCTGCAGCCGCATGCACCGCCAGCGGCGCAGCTCCAGGCTTGATGCCTCACCAGCATCCTTGCCCTGCGTCTGCAGCTGCACGGCAGGCACCATGCCCTGCACCGCCGCCTGCAGCACGGTGTGCACTTGGCCGCGCAGGGTGCTCATCTCCAGCACCGCCGCCTGGGCCTTGCAGGCCCACAGTGTGAGGGACAGCAGGCGGGCCTCCTCCAAGCGCTGCAGCCCCGGCAACACATACACCTGCATGCTCTGCAGCAGGCAGCGTGTGGGGGGCAGCCAGCAGACGGCGGAGCGGGCTCAAATGTTTGCACCAAACTGGATGGAGGCGACGACAGAGCCACCAAGGCGCCACCTTCAGAGCTGCCACAGCTAGCCCGCCCCTCCCTGGCCAGCAGCCACCCCAGGTGGCTCCCCTGCCTTCCCAACCACTGCAAGCTTGCCTGCTGCAGAATCTGCAGGATGAGGCCAGGGTGCCTCATCCACAGTTCCACCAGCTCAGCCCGCGCCTCCTGGGGGGCGCCGGGGGCAGCCTGGTGGAAGCGCTGCAGTGCTCCCTCCAGCTTGGCCAGCAGCATCGCCAGGCTGTCCTCAAGCTGCACCTGCCTGATGTCCACGAGGCCCTGGGCGCAGTGCACGAGGCTCTCGGTGCCCTCCACCACCAGCTCACGCCAGCGCTGGCGGTGCCCCTCAAAGCCGACCAGCGGCGGGTCGGCAGGCACCCGCACCGCATCGAACTTGAGGGTGCGGCCGCTACCGCTGTCGAGGCCGCCACTGCACGCCGCCGTAGCGCTGGCGTTGGTGTCTGCCACAGTTGACGCTGCAGCTGCGGCGCGCTGGCGTTCCTGCTGCTCCCAGGTCAGCTGCGTCGTCCCACCCGGGGGAGTGCAAGGGTCGTGCATCTGGATTAGCAGTGTGCACAGCACCTGCTCCACAATGGCCATGTGCTGCACATCCTCCACGGTGTGCAGCACGTCGCCCCAGCGGTCGCCCAGCTGCGCCATGCCAGCCAGCCAGCGCTCGGTGACGCCGTGCAGCTGGGCGTCGATGCAGGCGGCCTCCACCTCGGACAGCAGGTGCTCGATGTAGCTGGCTTCCTTGCCAGCCTCCATCTTGGTGAAGAAAGCCTGCATCTTGCTAAAGACGGCCATGCCGTCGTGGGCGGCGGTGCTGCGCTGGTTGGCCTCAGCGGCAGCAGCCTTGTCCTGCTGCTGCCACGCGCCCAGCAGCTCGTCACGCTGGGCTGTGGCCTCGGCGGCCTTGGCCGCAACCAATGTGCACAGTTGCTGGACAGCCGGTGCTAGCGCACCCAGCAGCACGAGCACTCTCTGCAGCCAGGCGGGGGGGGTGGCAGGCAGGGCGCGCCAAAGTGGGAGGTGAGGAGATCCTGGACAGGCGCTGGCAGGGGGTGTGGCCAGGTAGGGTACGGGGCACCTCCCTGGTGCCAGCAGCCAAGGCAGCATCGAAACCAACAGCAGAGCAACCAACAGCAGAGCAACCAGCACACCTCCC